CCCGGTTGCTACTATCCAGTCTGGGATAGCCGTCGTGTATATTCGTTGTTGTCGTTGTTTGCTGTGGCGTGCGCTGCTGCTGTTGTTTGTTCAATATTGATTGTTGAACAGTTCGCGGTGCTTCAGGCCACATCGGTGGACACGCCGAGCCACGAAGATACGATTCCAATCTGGTCTCGGTTTACGAACTTTACGAACATTATCCGGGCATGGCAACGTTCGCGTTCGCCGAGAACGCTGACGCGAAAGTACGATCGTTGCGACGTTCTGCTGATGGATACATGGTCGGAACGCCACCGAGGCGGGGGAACGGAGCAGCGCTGGCCGCAGTACTTGTTCCCGGTAGTCGACGCCGCCACCGCCCTACATGGGCCTACACCAGGGAACGTAGCCTCCGTCATCGTCTACGGGAATCCTGTTGCGTCATCGCCAGCCATCGTCAAAGTCACCGTACTGCTTGCTCCTCGTCACGGATCGCAAGCTTGGTCGCGGGTCGCGGGTTAACTGCGCATCGATAGCACTGGCAGGTCCGCTGACTGCATCGTCACGTACGTCATGATTACCCGGCGAGAAGTCGTCTGGCTGCGACGTCGTCTGGCTTCGCCGGTGGACGGTCATTGTGTCGCATCATTTGGCCTTTGCTGGCGCACAGTTCAGGTCGTTCTATCTGTCTCGTTCTGCCTCATCGCCATCTCGCTGGATCGCTTACTCGCGTCTGTCATACCGCTTGAGCGTGACGTTAATGCCGGCCACGCGCGCAAAGCTGAATGCGTCTTCTTCGCTGTGGCTTGCTGTCCTCATCTGCAGCGCCCGACCACAGGTACGACGCCGCACCTTTGTCCGTGTGTAGTTGGTTTTAGCACATTGACGCAGGTACCTATGCTACCTTGGTCGGCGGGCTCTTCCTGGTTGGCACCCGCATTGTTTAGCACATATGCCGGCAGCTACGACGCGCCCTTGTCGCTCATTCTGGTTTGAGACTCACTTATACATGGTTCGCATAATCTGGGCTGTGAACTAAAGGATCAAGGATAGTTTGGACCCGCAAAATGTGTGCACGCATATATTGACCTAAACCTAGGCAGGGGTGCTAAAGATATCAATGATTAGTTTGATGTACGCTATATGCTAAAACTTTATCTGGGTGAGTGCCTAAAGAGTCAAGGATAGTTGGGACCCCCGCAAATGGGTGGACGCATATATGTAAACCATTCGATGTCGCTAAGAGCATCAGATGATAGTTTCGATGTACGATATTGTGGATAAATTAATCTGGTGTGCAAAGGATCAGGATGTTTGGTGACCCCGCAATGTGTGTACGCATATATGCTAAAATATTCAAGGGGTGCTAAGAGATCAATGATAGTTTGATGTACGGCTATATGTTGATAATTATAGGGGTGCTAAACTGGAATTGGGGGACCCACCCTATTATAGCGCTGCCATTGGCTTCTTTCCTACCTGCGCATCTCGGGTTTTAATTTCCAGGCTTACGATTATATCAAGAGTTAATAATACATAACGTTTTAATGATTGTAATTAGCTCTTGATTATATCAGGGTTAATATCGTTCTCGCTACAGACTCCCGCTCCGACTCTTATACGTTGCGGAAGCGACGGGGCTACACCGGTAGACGATGGTTATAGGTATCGGTTTCAGATTTAGGGTTGGGATTGATTAGGGATAGATAAATGGTTTGGTAAGGGTTATAGTTGGAGTTATGGTTAGGTTTATGGGGTTAGGGTTATGGCTAGGGCTATGATATTATTATTATGATTATGGTTTTGGTTAGGGTTAGGGTTAGATTGGCGTTCGAGTTTGAGTTAGGGGAGGTAAGCGTGAGAGTTATGGTTAGGGTCACTATTAGGTGTTGGGGTTGGGGTTAGGTTGGGATTAGAATTAAGGTTAGATTATGGTTGGGAATAGGGCTAGCATGGCGAGGAGGGTGACTTATGTACAGGGGTTCTCTCAAGTGAAAAGTGGAGCGTCCTATTGTGGGTCAGCAGATACGTGTGAGTCTAATGACGTGTCGGTAATCATCGTCGATTCACTCCTTCTTGCTGCTGCTGCTGCTGCTGCTGCTGCTGCTGCTGCTGCTGCTGCTCCTGCTGCTGCTGCTGCTGCTGCTGCTGCTGTTGCGATCTCATTCATTATACACGCCATCGTTCACGCGCCGTCATCAAATATCTATGACTGGGTCGCGATGGGAGCGATGACGTCACATGGCCGTACGTGGGAGGGGTGGGGGAGGTCAATTCCAGATCTCGCGACCTGGCGAGTGTTGTTGAAGTTCTGTGATTAGGAGGCGCTGCTTGTTTGTCGTATTCCGGTGTGTCGTACTGCCCAGCCGTATACGGTGATATATCCACGTGTTACGTACGTGGGTGAGGGACGCGGAGGGAAGGCTTGGCGCAGTCCCAAACCTAGACACACAACCCACGTTACCGGCTAGTTAACCGGTCCCACTCTCTGCACATTTTAATAGTAATAATAGCACACGTATACACGGCGTTATCTTTTTTAATCGCGATTGAATTTCGTTACTACTGAATTTTTGACCGTTCAGAAAAGTTTGTCCTGGGTCTCTTAACACTCAGCGCCGTGTAACGATTTGAACGAAACTCGCAAACAGTCGTCTTTCATGTAATCTGTGCCACAGGCACTTGGACTCTCTTATTCATGTTGTTTGTGCACAGGGCGGGCGTGCGGTGTACTTGTGTGTTGTAGATGAGCATTTGAACGGCATTTATAGCAAGTTATCGGCAATAATAGGCGAAATAGAGTAGAGAAACATTAAGACTTTGGTAGTAAATACATTTCGTGTTTACATTTTTTGTGTGACCTGGGCGAGGGAACGCACGCCGGTCGCTACTCACATACAGCGCCACATCGCGGTGTAGTTATTTATATAACACTTTCTCATACACGTGAACTTTTTACATCACATGTGAGTAAATTAGTAGTTTTGAGTAAATGGTCAAAGACAAATATCCCGCTGCAGTTTGCATAATGAATACGACTTCTATTTGATGAGTTGTCTTGAGACATTCGTGCCGACATTTCCCCGCCCCCTGTTATGAGAAAGTTACGAGAAATCTGGAGCGACAGCGTTGATGCCTAGCGGTAGAATATGTTGGTGTGAATAAGTATTCCTGACTGGCAGTGCGCGTACGCAGGTACGCGGTATTATTTAATAGGTGGTATAGCCACAGTTACAATATTGGAAGGGCGCCTGTGAATTGAAATATCCGGTGAATGAAATACATGACTGAATTCATACGGAATGATGCAATGTATGCATTTCAAATGTGTTCTCGACCGTTGCAATACTTATCGGTATTTCTTGAGAAACAGCAAGTGCCTATAGTACTTAAGGCTAACATGTTGTAGAACACACGCGGTTGCTTTCACCAGTATACGCAACGATTGACATTTGCTAGTTGATTTCTTGTTGTTAGCTCATCTGACGTAGTCAGATGCAGCTTGTAGAATCGCATGATTGTGCGTGCGTGCGTCCGTCCGTCCGTCCGTTTCTCTCTCTCTCTCTCTCTATCTCTGTCTCTCATTATCGCTCTCCTTATCGCTCTCCTTCTCTCTCTTTCTCTCTCTACCTTCTCTTTCTTCTTTCGGCTCATCATTGTCGCCCTGTGGCTCTAGTATGGCGAGGACGTAAAATCGTTGTTCTACTACTGCTACTGACAGCCAGATATGATGATGAGCACTGTCGCTCGCTGGCACCTGCTGTTTACTCCGGCACTGTGGGGGCAGCCCTATAGACCGAAGGTCGGATGGACCGAAGGGGGGGGGTTAGGCTTAGGGTTAGAGTTAGGGTTAAGGTTAGGGTTAGAGTTAGGGTTAGGGTTAGGGTTAGAGTATATATGGTTTATAGTGGCATCATATATGATTTATAGTGGCATCGGTGGATGTGCGGCATATTCACGTTCGAATACGGCATCAGTGGATGTCCGGATGCGTAGCCTGGAGGCTAGGCGACCGATTCCGGACGTGTAACCACTGCGTATTCGAATAAACCTTCGGTCTATCGGGCCTTCGGTCTATCGGACCTTCGGTCTATAGGGCTGTAACCGGTACTGATACTGATACGTGCCATACGCGATAACATGTGGATGTCTCCACACGGCGCAGAAATATCGAAACGAGGGATTTTTGCACAGTTTCTCGCATACTAGTCGCGATCATGATCAGCTTGGTACAGTACAGCCTTCCGGTGTGTTATCCGACGTGAGTTACCCGTAGGGCCGTAGCCCTCGACCGGAGGTAATGTACGTTTTAGTATCGTTGGAAGCACAGGCACTTAGGACAGACTTTGTAGCGTTCGGTGTTAGTTTCTATGAAGGAAAGTTGATATACAGTAACACAACAGTGAAACTGTAATTGAGAGGTAGTGGGTACGGTAGTATTTGTGAATGTGCGTTCATATTCTTTTCAGTTTTTACTGACTCTGTGCCAAGTGCCTGTGGTTGGATGCACCGTAGGCTATTATCGTTGGAGGCACCGGTATTTAAAGCGATGTCTCGAGGGAGACACTGCTCCCAAGAGCAAGCGGTCAGCGGGTGTGCTTTCTGGAACATCAAGCAGGTGCTGCGTGCGGAAAGCGAATCGTTTTCGTAAATGCGTTTAGGCAATCAGTCACGCAGCCTTCTTGCACCCGAGCAAGCATTGCTCCCCTCGTCATGTATAGGAACGGTTGCTAGGCTGGCGTCGGTTCTCTATCTCCTATTCTAGCATACACGCACGCGTGCACACACGCACACACACACACACACTTGTGTGTGTGTGTGTGTGTGTGTGTGTGTGTGTGTGTGTGTGTGTGTATGTGTGTGTATGTGTGTGTATAATATATAATATATATTAAATGCTTGTGGAAATACCGCATAGGGCCTACGTTTATCTACTTCAGCTCAGCCCTTAGCAGCAGCTTATCCCTGTATACGGAACTCAACATACGTATCGGCAACATCGATGGCACACCTTTCCAAGAAGGTCAGGACGATGGCCAAATACCTAAGGACCCCCTGGCTCCTACCGGCACACATTTTCCTACGTTACAAGGACGTCTGCAAATGTAAAATTGAAGGCCTTCATAATCGATTTTGTCGCACGGAAAAACAACAGCAACGGCCCGCAGCAAGAGAAGGAAAGCCGCCAAAACAGATATCGAGAAGAGTTAGCAGTAGTACCGTAGAGAAGTATACGCAGAAGTATACAGAGAAGAGTTAGTAGTACAGAGAAGAAACATATGAGAGGCAAAGAGGGACGGTAGACGACTAAAAGAGGTAGACTCGTCACCGCAGCAAGTTGGCGGTTTTGTGTTTATGATTCTCTAGACGCTGCCAGTCTCTCGCTGTGACTAGTTCTGTACAGCCTATAGAAATAATATATACTAGTTATACACTCTATTAATTATTAATTTATATATAAAATACATAATATACATAATACCAAGAGTTAATAAAGACAAATATATATATATATATATATATATATATATATAAATAACATAATAAATATATATATTTCTATGGTACAACCACTGCAGACGCCGTCGACCGTAAACCGACTATAGTTTAAACGTTCTGTTGTCTTACGAAACGGAGGGATGCAAACGTACTTATTTATTCATTTATTCATTGTTAATCAATTTAACAACTTTCTCTTTGTTAACGTTCATTTCCCTTGGGGTAGCTTACAAGTGTTATTCGACCGAACCTCTTCAAACGACATCGCCCGTAAAGCATCTCTGAGTCTGACTGTCTTGCCTGATGCGTGCTCCAGCACGAAACAAGCCACACGTAAAGACTGCAGCGCTGCGATCGCACCTTCCTAATATACGACCATTACGCTGCCTCACCTGTTAATGGAATTCCACTCTAGTGCCCAATTCCTCACTCGCGGCATGAGGTGCCTTGGCGTGAGCTGTCCCGTGACACACCGTCGGCGCTTTATGCTAGAACGTCGCACGACATGTACCGGCTCTCGTCTGAATATACGCGGGACGTAGTAAAGTGGGCCAAAGCTGTCCGAATGGAGAATAATCGGCGACTGCGTCATGCATTTTTCATGCGACTGCAGCGCGCCGCGAATTGCTGCAGTCTTAGGAAATTACTCTTGCTATCGCCGTAATGGTATTGTACATGGGCTACTAGATTAATTGGAAGGGTTGGTAGCAGACATAAAGAACTACCAGGATATGATGTGCTGCTCGGGCGCCATATATTCGTTTATACTTTAGTAAGCTATCGTAATATTTCACCTACCTTAGTATGTGCTGTAGTGGTCACCCGAGACGCCACACGTACACCGGTGTCAGGATGTTTCATTTTAGTTGTAGTAGCAACGTGAGTAGTTATAATTGTTTGTATATCTGTAATCGCTATATTTGTTTATATAGTCGGATACTGACACCTGCCACCATTAGTCAGACTATATTAATACCGGCCATCGTTAAATATTTATCATAAAACACAGATCTTGTAATCAACAAGGAGATAACAACATCGATGTCGATAGCATTGACTTCTGCACAAGATAAAGTGAAAATACAATGAATTTAATACAATGAACAATAGTACAATGAACAATAGTACAATGAACAATAGTACAAATACAATGAAATTAATGCCAACGGTACAAGGTGCTAAAGTGGGCGCTTTCCATTAGTTAAGGAAAATTATCTACATTAAATGTACACAAATTTTGTGTGCGTTTATATCATCTGTAAAATGTAAAAATTATATAACAAATTATGAATAAAAAGCTCGCATTTTAATTGCTCAATTTGAGCAATCGAACGCAAACTCTTCGTGGGTTCTCTCTGTTTTGTCGAATTTCATCAAGATGGAATGCAAGAACCGCGTGGAAGAATACAATCAACGGAAAGTTAATAATATCAATCATCATAAGAAATAAATCGGATCCGCACGCGTACGACATCTGCTCTCAGGTTCTCAGCATTTCTCCTATATGTCTTCCGCTACGCCAATCATTTCTTGTACTTGGCGAGTCTCGAGTGGTGCAGTAGGGCCAGCAAAAGCCAAGCTGCACTCGAGGAGTGTCGGGTAGCTACAGGGCGCCTCGAGTGTGACCTGTTACAATCGTATGTTGTGCTTCGAAGAAAATCTTCAGTATTTTTGTGCGACTGCCGGTGATTGCAAATTATTTATTTTTACATAGAAAACGTTTTAGCGAGTGACGCTGTAAACGGTTATATATAGTCTATCATAAAGCGACTTGGCGTGAAATGTCAAGAATGACTTGTGCTGCATGGGAAACTAATCGTATCTCGGAGTTTTCAGGGACGTTGTGACCCTGATGTTTCAAATACTGTATACGCCATATTTTTCGCGTGCGGATATTTTCGCGAATTTAGACTTGACGCACAATTTCGCGATTGGTTAATTTTTCGCGGTCGATTAATTATGAATTATTCGGTATTATTCGGTATGAATTATTCGCGTGTTGTTATTTTCGCGGTCGGGGACACGTTCGCGAAATTCGCGAAAATTAAACCACCGCGAAATATACAGCGTATACAATACTGTGTCGTTTCCTGTCAAATGCAGCGCCGCCGTCAAAGGTCAAAAGGTCATAAGGCGAACAGCGACAATCGTGGCGCGTTGTCATCTATGTGAAGCCACGCTACAGTGTCACGTACTTCACCGCGCATTAACTCCATCTCACCGGCTTATCCCAGTGGGACTTCGCCGAGGTCACCTATCTGCGTTTTCTCATTTCCCGTTTTCCGACTTATGAGATGCGCGTGCACGCGAAATTAGTTCTTAAATCCGCTCAGTCGGATCCGATGATATTAGGGTTCTCCGACGAATGGTTGCTACATTGGGTTCTTAGCGGGCCTCGGTGATAGAGAGCTACTGGTTGTGAGCCGCAGTGTTTTTTGAGAAAAAAAAAATATATATAAATCTTATAATAAAGATAATGTTTTTTTCAAAGAAAACCCGAAGCTATCACATCAGGACTCCTGACTGACATATTGATAGACTCCTGATCACATGCGTTTTGATGTATGCATTCCCCTTTCGTCTAAATAGTTCAAAAGTGGTGGTTGCAATTTTCTGACTGCATCGCATGATTATATCAACCATCCGCACGTGATTTAGAATTCAGCTACGCCAATTAAAACGACCGCAATGACTTTCATCTAAATTTCGAAAACAATATACATTCACTCGTATAGGAATGTCCCGCAATACTACATCATCACGCATCTTCATTGACATAATAATAATTAATGTGAATACAATTGAACGATAATGAATCCGGCAGTCATTAAATGAAATGTTGTTACTCGCATTAATCATGATTATAGTTTCACAAGTTCTACTATTTAAAGTGTGCGCGTATATCATCGTGGTGGTCGCGTCAACGAAGCAGTTTACGACAATTTGTCATTGTCGGTTTGTGAAAAATCTTTAATTAGTGTTAATTAGTTCATTAGCAATCAATGGCAATCAGATGCGTTACGACCCCAAAGCTATTCGAATCGTCAGCTTATAATGTACCTATCGTTACGTAACGTTACATAATTATATATTATTATTATTATTATTATTAATAATAATCCTATTCCGAATATTACTATTATTATTATTAGCTCATCTGACATAGTCAGATGCAGCTTGTAGAATCGCATGATCGTCCGTCCGTCCGTCCGTGCGAGCGTCCGTCCGTCCGTCCGTGCGTCAACAGTTGGGCACAAATCTTAACCGCTCGACGTACGGTCACGATATTCGGGCTGTGGGGGGGTAATCCGAAAACGAGTTGGGATGTTGAAGATGGGGGTCAAAGGTCAAAGTACAAGAGGTGTAAAAGAAGGGGGAACATTCCCTCCTTAACTTAAGGTATAGGGAG